GAGTAACAATTTCGTACGCCAGCTGGCGGTAGCTGGTAGGCATACCAAAATGCACAAAAATAATTGGATCGGGCACCATAAGGTGAGTAAAGCAAAATAAGCAGGTCTTGTTCTGGACATCTTGAAATGAATTCTGATATCGCCATTATTTGCTGATGAGTGCTAACTACATGAACTACTGGATCATGGATTCAGTATGGATTCAGATTTCTTCCTGCTGCTGCAGCTCTTGCTTTGTTTTGTTTTAAACTTGCTGATAAATGTATTATTCTTGCTCACTGTGATTTATATGAAGGTGAAAAAGCTCCTTTTTGTTTTGTATGTTTGTTTGTTTTTTTGGCATATGATCTTTGCAAGGCAGAATCTTTGCAAGGCAATCCTGCTGACGGTTCTACTACCCGGAGCAAGGAAACTATAACAATTCAGAAAATAACCAGGAATGTGAGGTATTTGGAAAATAATATAAACAAGCTTGGTTAACTGGTTAAGACTCAAACGAAGCACACTGAGAGTAGTCTGAAGCACTTAATGAAGTTACGTTTAGTCAAACCTTGCCAGATCCCCTTGCCTGCCTTCAGGTCTGTTGGCAGGACAGCAACATCTATCTGAGTAGTAAGAAGAAATGTGGAGGGACTGCATTAGTTAGGCCTGCACTTGTCATGTTGCAGGAGGGAGGTGTTTCTGTGATCTGAAAATTGAATTCTTAGCTGTGGGAATTCATCAATATCATGTGCCAATGGAATTTTACATTGTTGATACTATTTTAATCTAAACTGAATCAACACACTGTTTGGGTTCCTCTACCAGCTAATAAAAAAGTCATTCAAATGACTGTGGCTGTGGTGAATGGCTATGAATAATTCATGGATCCTGGCCAACCTCTGAACTACTTGCTGTACATGCAACTGAACAGTTTCGTAACACGTTTGTACTCATCTGCCACAAAGACCAGTACAGAAAAATTAGTTTTGTTTCAGCAAAAGCAATCACTGAATTTTTAAGTCTTTTGACAAGAATATCTACTAGTTGGAATCACTAAGTGATATGATAGGAGATTACATTGTCATACACAATAATGTGTGGTATCCCAATACAAAAGTCCACTTGGAATGACCACATGACATTGAATAACTACACACATGTGTGGAAGTTACTGATCTTTGTATGTTTGGATATCTTTCTTCTTCAGTATTGCAGACATTGTGATTTATTATAAACTAAATGTTGTGTTTTGAACATTCTAAGTGTTCAGTTTGAGTATACAGTGGTCCCTCGCTATAACGCGGTTCACTTTTTGCGGCCTCGCTGTTTCGTGGATTTGTTTTGTGTGTGTGTGCAATTTTGCATGCTTTTTTTTTTTTTTACAGCGCATTGTGTTCCATGTCCTGATCAGTTGTAGACCAGTGTCAATCAATCTCCTCCGTGCCGTGTCTCCTGTCTCCTTGTGTAATGTGTTTAACTTGTCAAATTTATATAAATCTTCGATTGCTAGCAGTGTGACTCTGAAGTGCTGTACTGTATGTTTGTATGTTTTCTCCCCAACAAACACAACAATGTCGACGAAACGTTTTGCACCGTCAAAGGCACCTGCAGTAGCACGTAAAAGGCAGAGGACGATGCTAACCATTGCACAAAAAGTTGGACTTCTGGACATGCTAAAGAAAGGTGGAAGTTACCGTATTTTTTGGACCATAAGGCACACCGAATTATGGTAAATGGCCTGTATTTGTATAGCGCTTTACTAGTCCCTAAGGACCCCAAAGCGCTTTACACAACCAGTCATCCACCCATTCACACACTGGTGATGGCAAGCTACATTGTAGCCACGGCCACCCTGGGGCGCACTGACAGAGGCGAGGCTGCCGGACACTGGCACCACCGGGCCCTCTGACCACCACCAGTAGGCAACGGGTGAAGTGTCTTGCCCAAGGACACAATGACCGAGACTGTCCAAGCTGGGGTTGAACCGGCAACCTTCCGATTACAAGGCGAACTCCCAACTCTTGAGCCACGATCGCCCGTTGAGGCGCATTAAGCAAAACAAAACAGTCAGATAAGTCAAACAACTCATTCTTCTTGCTTCCTCTACTTCTGTACCATTGATTCATTGAATTCATGTTGAATTCTCTGGCAGCTGCTCTATTCCCATGTTCTGGACCCGAAAACAGGGTTTGATCTTTGGTTTCATTCTATAATACTGGAATTATTTTTCTACGAAGGTTTGAACTTTGAGGGTGTTTAAACAAGAGAGAAAAGTGTACAAAGTGTGTAGTGAGGGATTTTACAGCCTTAAAACATCTATAATAACTTTAAAAAATAAAGTTGGCTACTTCGCAGATTTCACCTATCGCGGGTTATTTTTAGAACGTAACTCCTGCGATAAATAAGGGACCACTATAGCCCAGTTCAATCTTTACCAAAAGCTACCCATAAATGTATTTCTAATAACAAAGCTTGATTCACTGGCTGGGACCACATCCTCATAAGTTTGACAGCATTTCTAGTAGATAATGGCAGATGATGTGATCATGAATTGGGGCTGCGGCTTGGGAAGGCCTCAGAGAGAACTGGCAGCAGCTCCCGGGCCAGGCAGATCCCCATGTACTAATGAGTAGTTAAATCATTGTAAAAGGGAGGGGGTGAGGGTGGGGCGCAAAAACGAGAACAAACAGCTTATAGAGAACCGGAAGGGACATGTATGGAGGTTTGGCCCCACTTCTGAAATCCAGATAAATTATCTTGAATAAGAGTTCAGTGGCATGAGGAAGAGCAGTCCCCACACAAGTGGACAAGTGGTTTAGTCTTTAGCGGTATATTTCAGTGATACAACAGAACAAGATTCCCACATTACAGAGAGGGAGAAGCTGCAATAGATGGAACAGATGTTCTGGAGAACTTTTTGAATAAAATTCTTCGCTTTGCTTGATTCTTGACTTTTTCTAGTATTATACTACTACTGGTGTAGAGGGTTTCTTGAGGTGCTGACCTATTGTTCAGGGGAAGACTGCATCATGTCAAAATAAATGGCTATAGGGCTATGAAAACATCAGAGTTGTTGCACACACAACAACCAATATGGTGACCATTAATGAGGGTTAAAGGCATACTCATAGATGCTGACCCATTACTTAGCCAAGCGAACTTAACCCCTTTAATGCACTTAGTTCAGTGTATTTTACTCATGTGACTTTTGCATACCATGCCCGAAAAACATGAGCTGCGTGCAGTTCAGCTGGACTCGAGCATACGACATGGTACTGTGTCCCGGGCTGCAAGACCTGTCTCAACTCAGGTACAAAAGGCCTAAAAACATTAACTATTACTACTGCTGGAGTGTGCTTTTCAAAAGTATGTGTGTGTGTGTGTGTGTAGGTGTGTGTGTCAAAAAAACAGAAAGGATAAGTGAAATGTACTTGGACCATCAAGCATTGTATAAGTGCCAGCTGATCTTTGCTGAAGTAATTTGGTTAAGGTTATATGTAGTGACGTAAATAAAAACTTTTAAATGTTTTCATGAGATATATACACTAAGGATATATCCATCTGTGATTTGGTATCCTTAACAGATTAACAGGGTTAACGTTTTTGTGATTGTGGTCAGTTAGCAAACAACTCAAGCATGAAAACATGTTGGTGAGACATTTCTGACCTGATCTATTATCTTACAGATGGCATATGCATATCAGTCAGAATGCATAATGTACTTAAGACTGCAGAACTTAAAATGCATAGCCACTTTGACATAAAGGGAAAAAAAGAAAGAACTGAAATCAGCTACATGTGTTGACTGAAGTAAGGAACAACTCAAAGACTCAAAGGCTTGTATTCCCCTTTAAAGGACGAGGTGATCAAAAAAGTCCCACCTGCTAACCCCCCCCTTTCAGACATGGATCCAACCCTTACCTATTGCGGTGTAGAGGACCTGGTCACAACAACGCTGCCCAGATAGCTGAGATCAATCAAAAACAAAGCAGGTAAGACTCCAGGAGCCATCAAGAACCACCACACTGCCCCTACTTGATAATGATGGAGACATTGCAGTACATGAGAAGCGGACAGGCCCTGTGACACACTTTGCCCAACAACCTTCCCTTGGTAGTCAGACCTGGATGACCTGAAGGCGTTTAAGGGAGTTGGGGAGGCGTGGGTTATAGAATCGGGGAGGAAAGTAGAGTAGGAAAAAAAATCTGAAAGATTGGACAGCAAGGGAGAATTGGTCATGCAATCAAGTTACTAAGGCTGAGGATGGGCCGCAGGGCCTGCCACGATGAACTCATCCCTCTGCATGATAAAGGCATCTTCAAAGGCTTGGAGCTGGACATAACAATGGGTGTTTTCTCTGGGGAACTGACTTGGTGGATATTATGAGAGTCCTCCTGTTAGGTGAAAGCAGGGTAACATAATACAGATGGAAAAACAGGGATCCCGTGGTGATGTCTGCATATTACCAGGCTTTCAGGGGCCTGCCCCCCCCCCAAAAAAAAGCATTTGACTGGCCATGGTTTTTAATTTTTTTTTAACCAGATGGATTGTAGCCCTTAAAGGTCTGAAATGCAATCTGTGAAGCAAATGCATTTTCTTGTCAATTCACCATTTACTTACTTACTTTTAGCATTTTCACATGAAAATTTACGATGTACATTTCCAGGTGAATATTTTGAAACAGTGCTTCAGAGATTCAGTGGGTGAGTAAGTTTATGTCTGACATGAAAAGCAGCACTGACCAAATTGAAGCTAAACTTAAAAAAAGGAAATCAAAAACAAAAATCCGAACAAAATGGTTTCCTTCCACCATACAACTTTCATTTTCATTAAGTCAAATGAAAAAAGCATAAGCTAAACTATAAAATTAATTTGCCACAGAGATGACTTTAGGAAATAATGATTAGTACATAGCACTTCAGAAACAAAAATATCAGAGCAACTTCACAAACCAAAGCATTATGGGTTGGGGCAGATGACTCAAATGGTATCCCGCTCTGTAATCCTTATGGACCTACCCTGAAGCTGACAACTGGGGTGGAGAAGGCTCCGATGGAAGGATCTCCTCCTCAGTCCTCCTTTGAGATGGCATCTGCCCAAATATGTTGCTGCTTTCCATGGGGGGTGATGGAGACTGGGAAGCTGGGTAGCTGGTTGCAGAGGTGGCAAAGGCCATGTGGGAATGGTAGCTGGGGCTTGTTCTCCTGCTACCCTGGGCTTGAGCAGGTGAGGAGGAGGGAGAAGATCTTCTTGAGAAGCTGGCTGTGGAAGGAGGGAGGAGGGTAATCTCAGACATCTCTGAAGGTATAGTAGGTTGGACAATGCCGGGACGTGGCCTGGGACGAACTACTATCTCTGGGGAGCCCTCATGAGAGCTAAGGGGGCTTTGGGTGAGGGGTGAGAGGCGAGAGGGCTGAAGAACCACCTGATGCATGCCAGGATCCATCCTACGAGCATGTCTGGGACTGAAATGAGGAGTGGTTTCAAACCATCGTGTGTCCAAGCTACTGAATGTGCTAGGAACAATATGGGCCATTGGATCGGTGTAAGGCAAAACCGGCACACCCATTCCATGGCTTGTGTGTCTTAGCTGCCCTAAATGTGCCTCTTGCATAGCTAAATGCTTGGCTGGGGAGCCATGAGGCCTGGCCTTGCTGGGAGACTTGCTTGAGTGGCTCTTTGGGGCCTCCAGTGGCAGGACAGCTGGATAAGTGGGCATTGGAAGAGAAGAGGTCTGGATAGCACTAAGGGGAAGAACATGAGGTGGAGGGGGATAGGGAGAATCGTGGCGGAGATGCAAAGGTTGATGTGGTGGAAAAATGAACTGGGGTCCTTCCAAACTTGCAAAGGTAAAATCCAATCCCTGCCAAATCTCTGGAGAACGAATGGAAGAGGTGAGGGTCAGTGGAAGTGGAAAACCAGAGACAGCATATTGCGGAAAATCACTTTCTCCCATTTCTTCAGGAATCATAGCGTGGCCAAAAGGACCCTCAGCAAGGTATGGAGGGGAGGACATGACAGAGCTAAGTGGGCTGGTATCTGGCATGTAAAAAGGAGGTGGAGGATCATGATCTCCAGGAGGACCTAGATAGCCATAAAAAGCCCTGTGGTGGAGAGAGCCTCGGATCTGCCCAGTGGCCTGGAGCCGACTGCTCTCCATGATGGTCATACCTTCGAAGGGCCTGTGGAAATGAGAGCTGTAGGCTGGAGGTTGCAGGTAGGATTCCTGACTGGAGATAGGGGAGATCTGGTGAGGCCGCAAGGGGGGCATAACTGGTGGAAGAGCCCTAGCGTCATCATTCTCTTCATCTGACTGTCGGAATTCAGGATATAGGTCTGATTCTTCCACAAACGGGAAGCCCTCAATTCGCCGGGGTTTGACAGACATTTCTCTGTCTGTAGGATCTATAACAAAACGTCCATCTGGGCCTCGACTGATGAGTTCAATGGGTGTTGTTGCTTCAGCTTCATGCTTGGGGATGCTGTATTTCTTGCTTGTTATTGCTCTTTTGGTCTTTTTGTATAGAGATAATTCCTCCTTCTTCCCTGGACTTGGGGGTGGTTTTTTTCCACGCTGGTCATGACTATCTTCAGATGATTCTGATGGCGATGCCTTTGAACGAATGCTCTCTGGGCTCACCTTTCCTGAAGATGACCTGTGGAAAACAATACAGATGAAGTGATCATTTAAAATGGTACTTCTTTACAAAATAACAGTTTACTGATGGTGCTGGAGATGAATCCAACTACACCAGAACAAAACATGGATTAAAGAAAGAAAAACTAGACCCCATTTACAGGATTCCAAGTTCTAAGTCAAAGCAGTGATCATGAATCATTAGCAAACAGAAATTCAGCAAGATACATTTCCTGTTTATTTTTAGGCAGTTAAACTAGAACAACAAATACGCAAACTTTCAAACTCAGAGAAGGCACTCCTCCGACCAGACTAAAGCTTTATCCCACAATTTTAAAGTAAGTCAAACCAAAATGTAACAGTTTCTTCCTTTGTCAGCGTTCCACTTCTCCATCAAGTTTCATATGAATTTGGTAAGTGAAAAAACATCTTGACAATACTGGACACATCGTGACTTTTTTTTCAAAAGTGAAAGTGAATGGAGTGTAGATGTAGAGGTTTGGTGACATAAGACAAATGTTTGTTTCCAAAGCAGTAATTAAAGTGCACACAAGAAGGGGATATCAACTAAACTGTACAATACACAAAATCATTAAATTCATGCATAATTCTGACAACAACAAACTGGTTTATTGGTACCCACACGAACACTCAATATGTCTTCCCTGAAGGCATGTGCATAGACCAGTTTTAACCATTGCAGTAAAAGACTGTGTACCGGACCCAAGAACTACTAGTAGTTATCTGTAATTTGTTAGATTTATAACTGTTTATGTTATTGGTTTTAAAAGCGGTTTAACATTTAGTCTTATAATGAGATGCCTTAGTTGCAGAATGCTTATATCATATGCCATATTACTGCATTTTACCTTCTTTCATTCCCTCTATATCATCCCCCACTTTACACCTGATACTTTAGCTCTACTTCATCATTATCATTTCCTAAAGTTAAAGGCAAACCAGTACGTGTACGGTACAATTTTACTACCAATGAAAATTTCATTCATTCAAAAGTTGAATTCCATTGCAGTATGACATCACATTTTCCCATTACAAAGCACTGTCAGGAGCACAAAAAAAACCAAAGAAACATGATACCCCAAAACTAAATAAATAAATAATAAATAAATAATTTCACCTGATATTAGAAACAGAGAGCTGTTTGTAAAACCCAATGGTTATCGGTTAGTAATAAATTTTGAGCAACACTGTAGTAACAAGTATGAAGTGGCTGTACTGACCAACACTGTTAAAGATCTAGTATGGTAGAGCTATGACTGATTTGTGAGAAAGGAGAGACTTTGATTGATGACATATATAGAAAATTAAGAATATCAGAGCGTGGAGTGAATGATTAGCCACATTTGTCAAAACTAACTGAAAGGATAATTCAATCACCATACCCAGTGAAGGGTATCCCACTAGTTGGGATACATACTATTTTGTGCCAATTTTGCAAGTGTTTGAACAATTTTGGTATCTATCCTTCTATATGATATCTGAGAGGTCTTGACCAAATTCAAAAATTTTAAAAGATTACGAGTTACAGTATATAACTTGTTCTTGTATATAACAAGAAACTGAGACACTTTGATGTTATCAAAGTCTTTCTAACCAAATTCTTGTTAGAAATTAGTACTAGAGCGCTATAGGAAAAAGGAAATGAAACCACAATTTCTTTGAAACCACAATCCCTTTATTTAGTGATAAAAGTCATTTATAGCAGGTCTGTTTGTTATAACCTAAATAAACAGTATAGTAGGCAATGTCACATGCAATCCATGTTAAAGGTACCAGGTTTCAGTAGCTACCTTCACTGAAAAATACCATCTGCTATTTGAAGTCATGAGGACTTCTCATTAAATGTAACAACAATTTGTTTATCATTACAATAACACCTAATCAATCAATGTTAGAAATTTGTGTAGATAACAACATTGTATTTCTAAACTATGTGAAAGATGGTGTCTCTGATGAACCAGGATCTTTGTTAGGTATTATTTCTTGCAACAATATTGGTTGAAAACTATATAAAATTTAGTAGAAGTTAGTTGTTGTTATGGTAACAAATATTGCTGATAACATTCATAAATCTGTTATCAGACCTACATAGCTGTAATGCTGCTGCAGTTCCTTATATGATTATGGCAGGTTTGTATACACTGTGGTTTGAATATAAGCTCCCTGCCTCTCTTGCAAGAGAGAAGATACTTATTAGGGACTAGAAAGAGACAGCATACTTATCCTATATTGGCTTCCTGCTAAATCCAGAATTGAATTTAAATCCTTCGCATTATATACAAGGTTTTGAATAATCAGGGTCATCTTAATGACCTTTTAGTATTGTTTCAACCCATTAGAGCACTTCATTCTCAGAGTACAGCCTTAGTTGTTGTTCCTAGCGTATTTGAAAGTAGAATATGAAGTAGAGCCTTAAGCTTTCAGGCCCTCTTCTGTGGAACCAACTCCCAGTTTGGATCTGGGAGACAGACATCCATTCTACTTTTAGCATTAAGTTTAAAACGTTCATTTTTGATAAAAAAAAAATATATATATATATAGCAAGGGCTGAAAAACTGAATCCTCCCTTAGTTATTCTGCAATAGGTCTAGGTTGCTGAAGGCTTTTTTATTCACCTTTTTCACAAACTGTGAATAAGTTTTTTATACACCACTCTGCATGTAATCATTAGTTATTAATAATCTCTGGCTCTCTCCCATCTTTAACTCATCTTTCTCCCTTCACCCCAACCAGTCGTGGCAGGTGGCTGCCTCTCCGAGCTTGTTTCTGCCGGAGGTTTCTTCCTGTTAAAAGATTTTCCTTCCTACTGTCGCCAAAGTGCTTGCTCAAAGAGCATCATATGATTGTTGGGGGTTTCTCTTTTTTTCTTTGTATTATTGTCGGGTCTTTACTTTACAATATAAAGCATCTTGAGGCAACTGTTGTTTGATTTGGCACTATATATTGTAAATTAAACTGAACTGAATTAAATCGAATTGAACATATTAGTTACTGACATATTTATCCTTATAGTACAAACTGGTTTGTTTAGGCTTCTGAAAACTCAGCAGTTAGAAGTAATGGATGAATCTCCTAAATGGATCATTATCCACAGCTTCACAACTTCACAGCTTATGGATATGCAGGCGATGAGACCTGTCTTCATCAATACATTTTCACATTAGTTTAACAGAGCTTCAGAAATATAGCCCGTCCACAGTCACAAGGCAAAAAAAGTGAGTGAAATTACATGACCATTTGCAAATTGTAGAAAGCCATGAGCTGGTGTTAAGCAGAAGGTTACTTCTTAGAAGAGTCAATGGCAGGACAAGTTAAGGAAATCAAACGAGTTACTAAAAGACACAATCAAGAAGAAAACATGGGTGCCTGTGTCAAAGTTTCCAAAAGTCTGTGTCTGTCTATTTTAACATATAAAGTGGTTTGGATAGAGCCAGGGCTAATTTCTGTTTTACTTGCAGTGAGTTTGAAAACAAACATTTAAAATAGTTCATCCACATCTAGACTGAGATTTTCTGAAGGTTGCAAGAAGCTGTTGTTGCCCCAGGACAATGCTTAGTGCATCTTATTTTCCTGAAACACTTCAGCAGAGGTGTACCTCCGTATTACCAGCCACCGCACTTAATTTTTCAAAAATGGTTTATTTTGTCATTAAAGAAGGCCTACAAGACTTGGACATACAATTCACATAACTGAGCAACATAGAGTCCCGATCAGAAGTTTAAGACCACTTGAAAAACAAGGTTCCAAGTAGAGCTTCAACATGCAACAAGAAGAAATGGGAGTGAGACAAAACATTTTTTTGAGCATGCAATTTATTGAAAACAACTTAAACTGAAACAGGCTGTTTTACAGCTGATCAAAAGTTTAGGACCACATGCCTTTAAAAGGCCAAATCTGTGCAAAAATCTGGATTCATTGTCATTTTCTGTCAGGTAGTCACACTGTCATGACATTCTGATTGCAAAGGCAAAAAAACTGAATATGGTCGGGTTGTTAAACTGCATAAGCAGGGTCTCTCACAGCGCACCATCGCTGCTGAGGTGGGACGCAGTAAGACAGTCATTTGGAATTTCTTAAATGATCCTGAGGGTCAAGTGGAAGACACAAAAAAATTCACCAACACTGACCCAGGATCCAGCTGGCTGTTCATCAAGACTCTGGACGATCCTCGACCCTAATTTTTTTTTTTTCAATATATTTTTATTGATTTTATAATTGAGCAGTATACAACAATCACCTTCAAAAGAACACAATAGAAGGTGGAAGGCAAGTCAACAAGGTGGTAATACAGCATACATAAATGTTAAGACAGAGTATATTTCACTTAAGTTTATCCATCAGGCTAATGACTGGTTGCCAAATCTTATAAAACACACTCTCTCGGTTAGACAAGGTAAACCTGATTTTCTCCAGATGGAGTACATTTCCAAATTCTCTCAACCACATTTCGAAGGTAGGAGGTTTAGCAGACTTCCAGCAGAGAAGTATCAGCTTTCTAGCCACAATTGTGGTCATTGACACAACCTGCGTCTCTGTCTTGTCCCTTGCCCATCCCAGTTCACACACCCCGAACAATGCTGCAAAGGGGGTACATGGGACCTCCCTGCCAATGGCTTTGGTCAGAAAATCAAACAAATGATTCCAAAAGAGCTGTAGTTTTTGGCATTGAAAGAAAAGGTGAGATAAAGTTCCTCGACCACTCGAACACTTAACACAGAGGGCTGAAACGTTCTTATATATTTTTTCCACTTTAGTGGAAGAAAAATGCAACCTATACACAACCTTAAATTGGATCAAACAGTGTCTAGCATTTATAGAACTACAATATATATTCTTAATGCACTCTTGCCAAAGATCATCAGAAACATCCACCCCCAGTTCTTCCTGCCACTGCTCCCTAAAAGTATCAGATGAAGGACTGTATATATCTAGTAAGGCCCTGTAAAGGCGAGACACAGCACCTCTACTATAGGGCTCAACTGACATGAAGCTGTCAAGCACTGAGTTTCGAGGAATCAAATTGTATTGTGGAATAGATGCTTTGATGAAATGTCTTAACTGTAAAAATCTGAAAAAATGTGAATTAGGAAGATTAAATTTCACTCTCAATTGCTGAAAAGATGGAAAATATCCATCAATGTAAATATCTTTGAGAGAACAAATCCCTCTTCCCTGCCATGTCACAAACGTGATGTCCTCCAGCCCAGGCCTGAAGGCATGATTGTTACATATTGGAGCATCCAAATACATTTTAGGAGCCTTTACTGTGCCCAATAGTTGGTTCCAGACCTTAATTGAATTTTGAATCACAGGATTTCTGCCATATAGTGTATTCTTCAGTTTTATCGGGCTATTAAGCAGGGCTGGAAGACAAGTTTGCCTACAAGACAGGTGTTCCATCATCAACCATGAAGGTTGTCCTTCCAAATCAGCACCTGGAGTACACCTTCGCCAAAATGAAAAAATATTTAAGTGTGCAGCCATATAATATAATCTAAAATTTGGGAGTCCAAGGCCACCACAAGTCTTATGTTTAACAAGATGCTTTTTGGAAATTCTAGGAACCTTACCTGACCAAACAAAGGAGGATACAATAGATTCCAGCTTTTTAAAATATGACTGGGGAATGCACACCGGGATTGACTGAAAGATGTACAAAAATCTGGGCAAAACTACCATTTTGATGGCATTAATCCACCCTACCATGGAAATTGGCAATGTGATCCAAAACTCAATATTCTTCTCCAATTGATTAACTTTTCTATCCCAAATTTGCTTCAAAAGTTGTGACACCTTACATGTGACTGTGATACCGAGACATTCAAACTTATCTAGCGCTATTCTAAATGGAGCATTATGCAGATAACCCATGTCCACCCCATCCGACAGAGGCATAAGTTCACTTTTTGTCCAATTTATCTTATACCCTGAGAGAGAGCCAAATTCGTTAATAAGCTGCAATAGTGGACTGATCAAGGTCTTAGGTTTTGATATGAATAAGACTACGTCATCAGCATAAGCAGAGAACTTATGAGGAATACCCTGATGTATAATCGGTAGTATATCAGAACTTAGCCGTATACGAGCTGCTAAAGGTTCTAGGGCCAGGGCAAAAATAAAAGGAGAAATGGGATCTCCCTGTCGCGTGCCCCTGTGCAATCGAAAAGGGTCTGATACATCATTATTAGTCCTTACCGAGGCCATAGGTCCTTTGTACAAAATTCTAATCCAATTGATAAAAGAATCACCAAATCCAAATTTGGATAATACAGTAAACATATACGGCCACTCGACCTGATCAAAAGCTTTTTCAGCATCCAAAGCTATTACCACAGAATCATCTGAACACCTAGCAGGACTATATATGAGATTAAATAATCTACGCAAATTAAAATAAATGTAGCGGTTAGGGATAAACCCTGTTTGATCCGGATGGATAAGTTTAACAATATGATCTTTAAGGCGGTTTGATAAAACTTTCGTTAATATCTTGGTCTCAACGGAAAGGAGAGATATAGGCCGATAGGATGAGACAGACATAGGATCACGATCTTTTTTAAGAATCAATGAAATTACACCATGATATAATGAACTTGGCAAAGAGCCAGACAATTTTGAATAGTTAAACATACGCAAAATCAGAGGGGCTAGCAATGAGGAGTAAGCTTTATAAAACTCTGCTCCAAATCCATCTGGCCCAGGGGCCTTATTATTTGACATCTGTTGAATAGCTGTCTTAATCTCATCTAATGTGAAGTCCGCCTCCAAATCTGCAACTGCCTCATCATCTAATTTTGGGAGATTACACTTTTCCAGAAAGTCCTCAATTAATGACTGACTCGCAGAACTCTTAGAGCTATAAAGATCACGATAAAAGTCTTCAAAACACTTGTTTATTTCTTGGGGGTTTCTAGTGGTCTGCCCATGTTTGTTATTGATTGATAGTATTGTTTGTGATGCTTGTGTTTTTCTAAGTAATCTTGCAAGTAACCTATGAGGCTTATCACCCAATTCAAAAAATGTTTGCTTACACTTAGTGATTTGAAGGCAAACTTGTTTGCTGAGCAGAGAATTATACTCACACTTCAATTTAGTAATTTTGCCCAGTAATTCTATTTTGGGAGAGGACTGATAAGTTTGTTCTAGCTGCTGTATATTCGACTCAAGATCCTTCAAAGCCATTTCCTGGGATTTACGTTTAGCTGCAGAGAGCGAAATAATGTGGCCTCGAATTACTGCCTTCATACTCTCCCAGAGAATTGCATCGTCAACATCACCTTTATCATTATCATTAATAAAATCTAAAATGTGCTTCTCTAATTTCTTATGAAAGGTCTCATCTTTAAGCAGAGTTGGATCAAAGCGCCAGTTTCTTCTCTGTAAGTTAGCTAAATCTGCAAAATCCAGATCAATGGACACAGGGCTATGGTCAGAAATTAAAATAGGATGGTAGGTAACATCCCTCATAATTGGAATAAGTTTAGAGTCCAGAAAGATATAATCAATACGGGAGTACGACCCATGAACGGAAGAGAAAAAGGAGTAAGCCCTGCCTGTGGGGTAAAGTAGTCTCCAAGTATCCACCATGTTCATGTTTTTCAACGCACTCTTCACAACATGACTGGATTTAGACTGTTGGGTATGAGCTGATGCACTTTTATCCAAACGGGTGTCCAGTACCAGATTCATATCCCCAGCTATTATAATATTAGAATTATTCACATTTGGCAGCAGCTTAAAAGTCTTTTGAAAAAACTCAGGGCAATCAAAGTTAGGACCGTATACGTTTACAAAAGTGACGGGTAAGGAGTTCAAGAGACCTGTAAGAATTAGGTACCTTCCCCCTGGATCCACAGTAACTGTGCTTTGACAGAAAGGAATATTCTTCCTGAACAAAATTGCAACCCCTCTTGCTTTAGCTCCAAAATTAGCATTGTATGCCTGACCCAACCAATTGGCACGGAGCACAGATTGAACTTTGCGCTTAGCATGCGTCTCCTGTAAAAAAATGATGTCAGGTTGCAATAGTTTAAGGTGTGCAAGAACTTTAGCCCTTTTTACAGGATTACCCAGGCCTTTCACATTCCAACTGACCAACCTTAGTGTAGTCTTATTGAATGTGTTTAATATAAATGTTACTTATCCTAATTTGACTAGCTAACCAGTAGTTATACACTCTGTAATTACCACATTTAAGATTGTACCACCATAGAACAAAAACATCCAAACATAAAACACTAAGAACAGTCCCACTAAAAAGGAGGGGCCTCCCCAATCGAAGCCCTTCTCCACCCAACATATCCAATAGGAACATAGTAGTAGCTACAATCCTACCCCTAACCCATCCCGCAGCCCCACACCAGCAAAGGAAGATTTATAAGACACTTTATAAAAGAAAGAAAAGAAAAAAAAAAAAAAGGAAAAATTCAGATAAATTAAAAACAAAAGCCGTATAAACCATATATGTGTGAGCTTTACTAGGCTCCCATACAGCAAATCAAAGAGTAAACAAAGACCCTGAGGGCTTATACTGTCCATATTGTAGGGAGTAGTAACAGCAATAATACTGACCTAAGCTGTATGAGCCCACATCAACACGCCCATAAGAACAGCAAAAATAAGGCTTATGCAGAAAAAACATATACCTGAGGAAGTAAACCGTTGTGTTAAAAAGCCCTACTCATTTGTACCCACGGCCAGTTTCTGGTCCAGGAATCTTTTGGCTGCCTCCGGCTTATCCATAATATCCTATTAGAGCGATTAGAACATGCTGTAGGTATTACAGGTACTGCACTGCAGTGGTTTGTATCATATCTATCTAATAGACTCCAGTTTGTTCATGTAAATGGAGAGTCCTCTTCACACACTGAGGTTAATTATGGAGTTCCACAGGGTTCAGTGCTAGGACCAATTCTGTTTACATTATACATGCTTCCCTTAGGCAGTATCATTAGAAGACATAGCATACATTTTCACTGCTATGCAGATGACACCCAGCTCTATCTGTCCATGAAGCCAGATAACACACACCAATTAGTTAAACTGCAGGAATGTCTTAAAGACATAAAGACCTGGATGGCCGCTAACTTTCTGCTTCTTAATTCAGATAAAACTGAGGTTATTGTACTCGGCCCTGAAAATCTTAGAAATATGGTATCTAAGCAGATTCTTACTCTGGATGGCATTACCTTGGCCTCCAGTAATGCTGTGAGGAACCTTGGAGTCATTTTTGACCAGGACATGTCCTTCAATGCACATATTAAACAAATATGTAAGACTGCGTTCTTCCATTTGCGCAACATCTCTAAAATTAGAAATATCCTGTCTCAGAGTGACGCTGAAAAACTAGTTCATGCATTTATTACTTCCAGGCTGGACTACTGTAATTCATTATTATCAGGATGTCCAAAAAACTCACTGAAAAGCCTTCAGCTAATCCAAAATGCTGCAGCAAGAGTCCTGACAGGGACTAGAAAGAGAGAGCATATTTCTCCTGTTTTGGCTTCCCTTCATTGGCTTCCTGTTAAATCCAGAATTGAATTCAAAATCCTGCTCCTCACATACAAGGTCTTAAATAATCAGGCCCCATCTTATCTTAATGACCTTGTAGTACCATATCACCCTATTAGAGCACTTCGCTCTCGCTCTGCAGGCCTACTTGTTGTTCCTAGAGTATTTAAAAGTAGAATGGGAGGGAGAGCCTTCAGTTTTCAGGCCCCTCTTCTGTGGAACCAGCTTCCAGTTTGGATTCGGGAGACAGACACTATCTCTACTTTTAAGATTAGGCTTAAAACTTTCCTTTTTGCTAAAGCATATAGTTAGGGCTGGACCAGGTGACCCTGAATCCTCCCTTAGTTATGCTGCAATAGACATAGGCTGCCGGGGGATTCCCATGATGCATTGAGTTTTTCCTTTCCAGTCACCTTTCTCACTCACTATGTATTAACAGACCTCTCTGCATTAAATCATATCTGTTATTAACCTCTGTCTCTCTTCCACAGCATGTCTTTTATCCTGTCTTCCTTCTCTCACCCCAACCGGTCGCAGCAGATGGCCGCCCCTCCCTGAGCCTGGTTCTGCCGGAGGTTTCTTCCTGTTAAAAGGGAGTTTTTCCTTCCCACTGTTGCCAAAGTGCTTGCTCATAGGGGGTCATATGATTGTTGGGTTTTTTTTCTCTGTATCTATGAAGCGCCTTGAGGCGACTTATGTTGTGATTTGGCGCTATATAAATAAAATTGAATTGAATTGAATTGAATTATCAAAAGTCTGTGTGACCCCGTCCATCGTCACCCGAAATCGAGCCGGATGAATAAAGCCGTAGCGTAGATTGGCCGCCCTGCACCGTTTGCGGATTTCTTCAAACTTCTTGCGCCGTGCCAGCACCTCCGCGGTCAGATCCGGAAAGATGAAAACTTTCGCCCCGTCGTACTGCAGCGGATTTGATAGTAGTGCAGCCTTACAATTAAAGGACGAGGCCGGTCCCCGTCAGCTGGCTTGGGGCCCAGGGCACGGTGTGCTCTATCCACCACGACCCTGCCCGTGAAGTTCTCACTCCCCAGGAGCTTAGGAATAAGCTCAGAAGCAAAGTCCAGTGGGTTTCCTTTCTCTGTCCCCTCCGCAACTCCAAGGATCCTGATATTCTGTCGTCTTGACCGCGACTCGAGGTCATCCAATTTTCTGTGATGTAAATCGTATCCTTTCTGGAGCGAGTCGCAGAGCGCCTCTAAAGCGGCAATCCTCTCGTCATGCCCATTTACAGCTTCCTCAATATCATGTATCCTCCCAGTTACCGTGGAAAGAGTGGCCTCCACAGCGTTCATCGTGGTTGAAATAGCAGTTAATTTGCTATCAACCGAAGTCTCCAATCTAGCAATTGCACTCATTATGTCGGCGGACGTCGGGTTAGCTACTTGGGAAGTCACGGGGCTAATTGCACTTGGCTCCCCAGCTAGCGCGTGCTCGTCAGCTACACTCGCTGGCTCACCTTCATCTTCTCCGATTTTCTCAGTCTTTTCACGGGCTTTTGAAGCTTTAGGTTTCGTCATTGTTATAAAATATATACAAACGTCAGGAATCAACAGAAAGGTGTCAAAAAACAGATGGATATAAGTAAAAAAATTATAGGCTGGTGCGGAGCTCTTCCAAGAAACGTCTTACGCCATTGCTTGCTAACCACGCCCCCTCCTCGACCCAAATTAAGGCAGTTACTGGTGCCGACTGCAGCCCCATAACCATCAGACTGCGTCTGAGACTGAAGGGGTTCAAAAACAAAAAAACGTCTTCAAAGGCTCGTCTCTCTTGAACGCCACAGAACTGACTGTTTGGACTCAAGAGAGCACCAAACATGGACACTGAAAGGTGGAAGAAAGTTTTATTCTCTGATGAGAAAAAATTTAACCTTGATGGTCCTGATGGTTTCCAGTTACTGGCATGACAAGCAGATCCCACCTGAGATGTTTTCTACGCGCCACAGTGGAGGGGGCACTATAATGGTCTGGGGTGCTTTTTCCTTCAGTGGAAGACAGTAGATACCCTTCGTGTGGCTGTCTTCACCACTTGGAGAAATGTTCCCACTCACTTGCATCAAGCATGCTGCAACACATTTTTGAAGTGATCAACAATAACGGTGGAGCTACTCATTACTGAGTTCATGTTTGGAACTTTGATTTCTGTTTTGGGGGTTTACGGGTTTTTTTGGAGGTGTGGTCCTTAAACTTTTGATCAGCTGTAAAACAGCCTATTTCAGTTTAAGCGTGTTTTCTATAATTACATGCTCAAAAAATGTTTGTCTCACTCCCATTTCTTCTTGTTGCATGTTGAAGCTCTGAAACTTGGAAATCTCTCTC